GGGTTATTAACTCACTAGGGTTAAAAGTGCTAGTTTTTTCTTCTACTTCTAAGGTAATACATAAACAATATATCCAGGACGAGAGATAGCGCTGCTGAAATCAATATTGGGAAAATACTCTAATAGTCTTGTTAGAGCTTAAACAATCCATCTTCACGTGAACCTAAGTTGACGAAGTCATCAGACAATCTTCAGTGATCTGTCAATAGAATTTTTCTTGCACACGAAATTAAAAATAATTTATACACTTTCACTATAGTTTTCATCCCCCAAATAATCGACCTCACTATATAGTGGATAATTCACAATATACTGAGGCACACATGGGTAAGGTAAGTGACTCTTGTTCATCCATCATGATGCATTACGTTTTGGGTCACAAAACTCCACACTAGACATTAAATTCAAAGTGTTACCAAAAACTGATTCATTGGTAATTCTTTTTGTATCACTCACTGGGAATGTGAGGCGTTCAGATTAGATTATTACAATCAAAACTAAGCATTATTATTATTATAATCAAAGGGAAGCACTAAACCCGTAGGATTATACAGCGCCTGGGGGGAAGGATGTGGAAGGCATTCAGGCTTAATTCGGGGAACTGGAGCACAGATCCAATTCCCTAAATCAAGAGCCCCTCACCAACAATAAAAAAAAAACTAATCATTAAACCCACAAGGGTCATACAGCATTCAGATTCGATCCATGGAAGGGAAAAGTAATTCTACTTCTTTGGCTCAAGAGCCGTTCACCGGCCTGAAGGAACCTCACTAAAAGGGAATCCTTATTACATCTCGGACTTACACTCCTTCAAGAACACAAAGAACAAGACCTGAAGCTGCTTCGTGGTTAGGAAGGAAGATGTGTAACTTCCATTTTCTGTGTCCATGTAAGAACTTCAGTGTTACATAAATTGAATGTAATTGTAATACTTTATTTACATATTTAATATATATATATATATATATATATATATATATATATATATATATATATATATATTATATATATATATATATATATATATATATACAATGACTACACATTAAAAATAATCCTCATAAACACTGGCAATATATTTTAAATATAAAAGTTTCCTGACACTTGGCACCTAAGAGGTTTGAATCCCACCCGGGGATCCATTAACATGCCCACAGATATTACAGTCATTTATACCACCATATCACAGATTAACTTCTTAACATATATACTGAGAAGAGAAATAACACAAAGACTTATAAAAAAAATAATTCAACATCAGTCGACATTTGCTGTGGCTTTCAGTTATTAAAAATAACTTCGTATTCATCACAATAGTCCAGCTATTCACCTGAAGTTTACCTTCATAACCGCAAGTTTTTATGTTAAGTCCTGTTTATACAGCCTACATCTGTAAATAATTTATTCAACATATTGTACATATTTAAGCTCGAGGCGACATCAAGAATGAGTCTTAATGGGCACGTCAGTTCCGCTGTTTTCTGAAATGTTATTTTTCCCCTATAATCTACCTTATCCATAATTAATATCGCATTTGCTTTGTCTGCTTCGCAAGGTGAAGTCCAGGATCTTTCCTTAATTCATGATATAACTTAACAAATCTCTGATAACAACACAACTGTCCTCAAAGATCTGTTAAGTTATACCAAGAATTAAGTAAAGATCCTGGACTTCATCTTGCGAAGCAGACAAAACAAATGTGATAGTAATTATGAACAAGGTAGAATATAGGGGAAAAATAAACACGATATTAGGAGACAGGGCAACTCACGCTCCTCGCATCACATAGTGAAGCCAGTACCTCGCATCACATAGTGAAGCCAGTACCTCGCATCACATAGTGAAGCCAGTACCTTGCATCACATAGTGAAGCCAGTACCTCGCATCACATAGTGAAGCCAGTACCTCGCATCACATAGTGAAGCCAGTACCTCGCATCACATAGTGAAGCCAGTACCTCGCATCACATAGTGAAGCCAGTACCTCGCATCACATAGTGAAGCCAGTACCTCGCATCACATAGTGAAGCCAGTACCTCGCATCACATAGTGAAGCCAGTACCTCGCATCACATAGTGAAGCCAGTACCTCGCATCACATAGTGAAGCCAGTACCTCGCATCACATAGTGAAGCCAGTACCTCGCATCACATAGTGAAGCCAGTACCTCGCATTCACATAGTGAAGCCAGTACCTCGCATCACATAGTGAAGCCAGTACCTCGCATCACATAGTGAAGCCAGTACCTCGCATCACATAGTGAAGCCAGTACCTCGCATCACATAGTGAAGCCAGTACCTCGCATCACATAGTGAAGCCAGTACCTCGCATCACATAGTGAAGCCAGTACCTCGCATCACATAGTGAAGCCAGTACCTCGCATCACATAGTGAAGCCAGTAACTCGTATCACATAGTGAAGCCAGTACCTCGTATCACATAGTGAAGCCAGTACCTCGTATCACATAGTGAAGCAGTACTCGCATCACATAGTGAAGCCAGTACCTCGCATCACATAGTGAAGCCAGTACCTCGCATCACATAGTGAAGCCAGTACCTCGCATCACATAGTGAAGCCAGTACCTCGCATCACATAGTGAAGCCAGTACCTCGCATCACATAGTGAAGCCAGTACCTCGCATCACATAGTGAAGCCAGTACCTCGCATCACATAGTGAAGCCAGTACCTCGTATCACATAGTGAAGCCAGTACCTCGTATCACATAGTGAAGCCAGTACCTCGCATCACATAGTGAAGCCAGTACCTCGCATCACATAGTGAAGCCAGTACCTCGCATCACATAGTGAAGCCAGTACCTCGTATCACATAGTGAAGCCAGTACCTCGCATCACATAGTGAAGCCAGTACCTCGCATCACATAGTGAAGCCAGTACCTCGCATCACATAGTGAAGCCAGTACCTCGTATCACATAGTGAAGCCAGTACCTCGCATCACATAGTGAAGCCAGTACCTCGCATCACATAGTGAAGCCTGTACCTCGCATCACATAGTGAAGCCAGTACCTCGCATCACATAGTGAAGCCAGTACCTCGCATCACATAGTGAAGCCAGTACCTCGCATCACATAGTGAAGCCAGTACCTCGCATCACATAGTGAAGCCTGTACCTCGCATCACATAGTGAAGCCAGTACCTCGCATCACATAGTGAAGCCAGTACCTCGCATCACATAGTGAAGCCAGTACCTCGCATCACATAGTGAAGCCAGTACCTCGCATCACATAGTGAAGCCAGTACCTCGCATCACATAGTGAAGCCAGTACCTCGCATCACATAGTGAAGCCAGTACCTCGCATCACATAGTGAAGCCTGTACCTCGCATCACATAGTGAAGCCAGTACCTCGCATCACATAGTGAAGCCAGTACCTCGCATACACTAGTGAAGCCAGTACCTCGCATCACATAGTGAAGCCAGTACCTCGCATCACATAGTGAAGCCAGTACCTCGCATCACATAGTGAAGCCAGTACCTCGCATCACATAGTGAAGCCAGTACCTCGCATCACATAGTGAAGCCAGTACCTCGCATCACATAGTGAAGCCAGTACCTCGCATCACATAGTGAAGCCAGTACCTCGCATCATAGTGAAGCCAGTACCTCGCATCACATAGTGAAGCCTGTACCTCGCATCACATAGTGAAGCCAGTACCTCGCATCACATAGTGAAGCCAGTACCTCGCATCACATAGTGAAGCCAGTACCTCGCTTCACATAGTGAAGCCAGTACCTCGCATCACATAGTGAAGCCTGTACCTCGCATCACATAGTGAAGCCAGTACCTCGCATCACATAGTGAAGCCAGTACCTCGCATCACATAGTGAAGCCAGTACCTCGCATCACATAGTGAAGCCAGTACCTCGCATCACATAGTGAAGCCAGTACCTCGCATCACATAGTGAAGCCAGTACCTCGCATCACATAGTGAAGCCAGTACCTCGCATCACATAGTGAAGCCTGTACCTCGCATCACATAGTGAAGCCAGTACCTCGCATCACATAGTGAAGCCTGTACCTCGCATCACATAGTGAAGCCAGTACCTCGCATCACATAGTGAAGCCAGTACCTCGCATCACATAGTGAAGCCAGTACCTCGCATCACATAGTGAAGCCTGTACCTCGCATCACATAGTGAAGCCAGTACCTCGCATCACATAGTGAAGCCAGTACCTTGCATCACATAGTGAAGCCAGTACCTCGCATCACATAGTGAAGCCAGTACCTCGCATCACATAGTGAAGCCAGTACCTCGCATCACATAGTGAAGTCTGTACCTCGCATCACATAGTGAAGCCAGTACCTCGCATCACATAGTGAAGCCAGTACCTCGCATCACATAGTGAAGCCAGTACCTCGCATCACATAGTGAAGCCAGTACCTCGCATCACATAGTGAAGCCAGTACCTCGCATCACATAGTGAAAGCCAGTACCTCGCATCACATAGTGAAGCCAGTACGTCGCATCACATAGTGAAGCCAGTACCTCGCATCACAGTGAAGCCTGTACCTCGCATCACATAGTGAAGCAGTACCTCGCATCACATAGTGAAGCCAGTTACCTCGCATCACTAGTGAAGCCTGTACCTCGCATCACATAGTGAAGCCAGTACCTCGCATCACATAGTGAAGCCAGTACCTCGCATCACGTAGTGAAGCCAGTACCTCGCATCACATAGTGAAGCCAGTACCTCGCATCACATAGTGAAGCCAGTACCTCGCATCACATAGTGAAGCCAGTTACCTCGCATCACATAGTGAAGCCAGTACCTCGCATCACATAGTGAAGCCTGTACCTCGCATCACATAGTGAAGCCAGTACCTCGCATCACATAGTGAAGCCAGTACCTCGCATCACATAGTGAAGCCAGTACCTCGCATCACATAGTGAAGCCAGTACCTCGCATCACATAGTGAAGCCAGTACCTCGCATCACATAGTGAAGCCAGTACCTCGCATCACATAGTGAAGCCAGTACCTCGCATCACATAGTGAAGCCAGTACCTCGCATCACATAGTGAAGCCAGTACCTCGCATCACATAGTGAAGCCAGTACCTCGCATCACATAGTGAAGCCAGTACCTCGCATCACATAGTGAAGCCAGTACCTCGCTTCACACACGTCACTTAAAGGTTACAAATCAATAGTAACGAGGTGGTAACACTACACAATAGTAACGAGGTGGTAACACTACACAACAGTAACGAGGTGGTAACACTACACAATAGTAACGAGGTGGTAACACTACACAACAGTAACGAGGTGGTAACACTTCTCTACACAAGATCCTTAAAAATATCTTCTATAAAAATATTTAACGTCAAATACTGAAACGTAAATTTATAACACTGCATAAAATATTATATCAAGACTATGTGGCACATAAACACCTATAGTACAATTTTAAAATAATTAAAAAAAAAAGCTTTATTATGTATATCTCATATTATAGACAATATTTGCACATAGCAATTAATTGTTTCGTGTGTGTGTGTGGTGTGTGTGTGTGTGTGTGTGTGTGTGTGTGTGTGTGTGTGTGTGTGTGTGTGTGTGTGTGTGTGTGTGTGTGTGTGTGTGTGTGTGTGTGTGTGTGTGTGTGCGTGCGTGTATTCATCAACACGATGTGGGGGAGAGGGGGTAGGAAGTGGGTGCAGTGGGTACCTCCGGATGCTGGACTTACCAGAGAGGAAAGTCCTCTCAACATCTTTATAATATTGCACTTCACAGAACACAACCACCGGAAACAGACGCTGCCTCAATTTTTAAAATTTCTGTTAACTACCTTTGTGAATCACTGACTTGGATAGCGGTTCACTGTCTTTGTGATAGTTATGATAATGCTGGCACATATATATCATTCGTTGGTATGATGTAACGTGCTGCTTGGCCCTCGGACCTACAGTACACAACATACAATGCAGTACACGCCACAGACAACTGCAACTGTATTTTCAACACTGAACAACACCAACACAACCGGAGATCAGTGTGACTTATTAATCGTGGTTCATCATATAACTATATACAATTTACGTTGAAGAAAATTGAAAATGGTTAATTACTAAAATATTTACACAAAAAATCACAATAACAGTACCAGTAAGTGGTTCTGCCACACTAGTTGTTAATGCTATAATGACTGAAGAGTAGGTAGATAAGAAGAAACTTCTACCAGAGGGCGTAGATATGATTACCACCGTGATAGTCTCAGTTGAATCTAGTGAGGCAGAGGAGACTGCTCTGAACACCCTGGCTACTTCGCACCAATGGTATATGTCGCGTACTTTCGCCACGCAATACCCGTCACTTCTGCCGGTTGTCAGGGCATTAATAACAGTTGGGCGATGGACGTGATATCATGGGTAGTTGGGAAGGGCCAGGAGAGCATCAGGATGAGGATGTGAGTCAGGGTGCTCTTGTGGTGACATCTAGTCAGCCACACCTCACCCCAGCCACAATGTGAAGCAATACTGTGGAGTTACGTTACCTCAGCAAATTACCTAAATTCTGGGGATATGCTTCTTGTGGACCTTAGCACGAATATCGGCCTCTCAGTGTGTATTGCGCCAGTGCCTGGACGACGCTGCGATACTGACATATAAGTGTGACACCACTTCGGTGTCCTCGAGGCTTATGTCCTGGGTCCCGTGGCTCTGCTGGGTGTCTTCATCTTTCCTTCCAAGAAGGCAATTTTTGCACTGATAGACCCTGACCCGACGCTCTCAGTAGTGGGGGTTGAGTCCGGAGTCAACTCGATAATACTGGTGTCTGGCGTGCTCACGTGCTGCTTCCAGCTTTTAATGAAAGGAAAGGGAGCCATCTTAAGGGGCGGGAGATCCTTTCCTTTCTTAGAGACTCCTGGCTTCGGAAGTGTAGGAGGCATGGGCTTGGGAACCGTTGGCTTGACAGGTGCGGGTGCCTGTGTTGGTGATATAGTTTCTACCCGAGGTCCTTTACTGGGTTTGTGAGAGACCGGTGGTGGAGTTGGTTTCTGTGTTGGAGACGGGGTGGGGATAGCGTCATTTCGCTGTGACTTCGCTACAGCTGGAGGCGCAGGAGCAGGACGAGCTATGATAGTAGGTGATACCGGCCCACTGTTCGACCTATCATCCTGGTAATTAAGCAGCGGGACGCTGTTCATCTTGGCAGGAGGTGGTGGTGGTGCTATCCTAGGCGCTTCCACCTTGCTGCGTGGCGGAGTGGTAGTGGTGTTTGTTAGAGGAGAAAGGTGGGGAGCCGGTTGAGTTTCCTGGAGGTTGCAGTAAATAACATCTTGCTTCGGCTGTTCTCGAGTCGGTATACTGCAAGTGTTGGTGGTGAGGGAGCTATATGGCAGAGGCATAGGCGCCTTCACTAATACAACGTCCCCTTCTCCCAAAAAGCTATTTTTCTCGCCCTGCGTTGGGTGAACACTGCTGTGGGGGCCGAGGGGCGGCTTGTAGGGCGTGGGCGTCTGGTGCACCATCCTGGGCGGTGTCGGGACTCTCTCAGTAGACTTGCCTTTGGCCCTTACGGTGGCCACCAGTTTCTGGAGGTCGGTGGTGTTGACATAGGTGTTGGAGGTCTCGTCCAGGTTGGTGATGTGAGCCACGTCCTCCACCCGCAGCTGGTACTTGGACTCCTTCCCTGAGTGTTTGGCCTGAGGAGGAGGCAAGACAGGTATGGCTTAGTCACCTGGAAATAATTATGCACGTATACACACACAACGTGTACGTGCATAGCACGCACACAAAATATGTTCACAAAGTATTCACACAGTGTATGGATACAAACTACACAGGGTACGCACATAATGTACGCATACACAAGAAATGCTTATAAAGTATGCATACGCAGGATGCATAACATACGCGTACATAAAATACTTACACAACGTAAGTATACAACAGGGTACACAAACAACATACGTAATATCAATGTACGTACACAAGGTATGCATACGTAACACAAACTTCCAAAATTCATTAGATGATCAACAACCTCTCTGGACCCCACCTAACGGACGGAAGTTCGAGTCTCCACACTTGCGCTGAATGACCCACACGGGTGTTTAACTCTTTGTATAAATACAACAACAAATTACCAGAACACAATACGCTTCTTTAACACCTAAGAGTACAGGTAGGGTTACCAAATATTTTGAGTACACTCTAAGTCATCCATAAAATTGTAACACGATATATATCATTTTGGGGTAAATAATTATTAGTAGTAGTATTTGTTAGCATGATTTTTTTTCATCCTGAATACATTTCAAGTGAGGATCGACATTATACATCATGTTAGTTGTCCGTGTCTACACCACCTGGTTTGTCTGTCTACACCACGCTACTTGTTTGTCTACACCTCGCTGTTTGTCCATCTGTCTGTCACTGACTTCAAAATAAGAAAAAAAACAACAACGCTAAAACTTACAAGAACCATCAGTACTACGAGAAAGCAGCACAAGAGGGGTTACTACCAGAGAAGAGATACCAGAACAAGCTTACACAGCGCGGGACCGTCCTCACTGGAAGGTTTAGCACGGGAATTACAACCATCTGCAATGATAAGAGTACCTTCATCTCCTGCTTCTATAATGGCACTAAGACTCCTGGTTCCCATCGTTCCTCTCTTTTCCTTCAGTCTCCCCGGGGTGTGCCCCTTCCTTCACGCTCAGCATGCACTCGCCGAATCTGCATGAGTAACGCTGACAGCTGCTGCTGGACTTCCTCCAGGTTCAACTGCAGGACCCCCGACTCTGACAGATCCTCACACAGCCCCCGCACCAGTGGCACCATGCGCTCCATCATACTGAGCATGGCCAGCTCCAGCTCCTGACCATCTAAAATATCCTCTTGGTCCTCTTGCTCATATATAGGTACTCTACCACTCTCTTCGTCTTCTTGCTCATTTATAGGTACACTACCACCCTCTTCGTCCTCTATAGGTACTCTACCACCCTCTTCGTCCTCTTGCTCATCTATAGGTACTCTACCACCCTCTTCGTCCTCCTGCTCATCTATAGATACACTACCACCCTCTTCATCGCTAGTAGTTACCCAGTCATCCTCATCATCACTGGACGAGTCATAAATTTCGTCCCACTCATAGTCAGCATTCAGCTGGTGAACAAATCCCTGGGAGGGTAGGAAGTCGTCCAGTGTGAGGGTGAGGTGCCAGCAGGCGGGGCAGGAGCAGGTGTCAGCCAGGCACCTCGGACAACTCTCCTGGCACATCACATCGCTATCTTGATTATAATTTTGCATTTTGGAAATAAAGTTATTAAATATTTGTTTAACTTGTCTATGAAAATCGGTTACACAAATAAAAACTTCAAGACGAGAGATGAATTAATTAAAGTTTGAGTCAGGACATTAGAAAGTGATTTTCAATATTGACTTTTTTTATTTTCTTTATTGACGCTGTGTACAGACAGGAAAAGCGTCTGTCTCGCTCTCAGCAGACGGAGGATAAAGCCTCCACCATCTCTTGCGCTGAATGATCCACAAGGGTTTAACGCTTAACGTGACTAAAAGAACTATTTTCTTTATTGTTACATATCTAATTAACATGTATGTATCAAGTCTCTTCATCTGTACCTGAGTGGGATGTTTAGTGTGAGTATTATTATTATAATCAAAAAGAAGCGCTAAGCCACAAGGGCTACACAGCTTAGTGTGAGTAGCGACAAGGAAATAACTCTCGCCTGTTAAAAGTAGTCATGTAGTAGGACTATTTGGGAATTTTAAGTATGTACCGTCGAGGAAATCAGCAGAGTTGATATGACAAAACTGTCACGACTGTTGTTGTTGTTGTTGATGCTTTTTAAGTGCTACGACTGTAGCACTTAAAAATCTAGTGTTTAAAGCTTACTTAGCACTTACATCTCAATTTGCTCGTAGCGCGGAGGAAGGAATACCTAACACGTAGATTATGTACACTAAAGTGTGGGTAGGAACTAGAACTGCTGAGAACGTATGAGAGATGAACATCAGTATTACAAATATATGTATAAATAACACAAAATTCGGGTTACGGCATTATATTGTAAAGACACAACATGAACCAGGGACGAACTGGTAAAGTCGCTGGTGGGCGAAACATCTTCACAATAAAATGCCATAACCCAACATTTCCATAATGTCGGTATTTTCTGTCATTGTATTATCATCACGATTACATACGCAGCACTTATTGTGTTACATGACACCTTGCCCCTGACCTCTTGATTCATTAAAATGGGACTAAAGTAATTGAAGCAGTTAGTAGTAGTCGTAGCAGCAGCAGCAGCAGCACAGCAGCAGCAGCAGCAGCAGCAGCAGCAGCAGCAGCAGCAGCAGCAGCAGCAGCAGCACAGCAGCAGCAGCAGCAGCACAGCAGCAGCAACAGCAGCAGCAGCACAGCAGCAGCAGCAGCAGCAGCAGCAGCAGCAGCACAGCAGCAGCAGCAGCAGCAGCAGCAGCAGCAGCAACAGCAGCAGCAGCAGCAGCAGCAGCAGCAGCAGCAGCAGCAGCACAGCAGCAGCAGCAGCAGCAGCAGCAGCAGCAGCAGCAGCAGCAGCAGCAGCAGCAGCAGCAGCAGCAGCAGCAGCAGTAGTAGTAGCAGCTGCAGTAGTAGTAGTATTAGTGTAGTTAAAAGTAGCAGTCACATTCCCTAAACATTCCGGCAGCGTCGATGGATCAGTCTTACTGTAGTTAGGAACCGTAACTCTGTCAGACATACTTGAAAGTTCTAAAGATTTCAGAGTTCAGGATTCAATCACATTTCAAGCACAGGTTAATAAGATATAAAATACTATTTAAGGCCGTTGTCTAGTAAGCAACGCTCTCCCTCACACACCGAGTGTCCGTGGTTCGATCCCCGCAAAAGGCGGAAACATTCCGTGTGTTTTCTTACACCTGCTGTCCCCCCGTTCACCTAGCAAGCAAGTAGGTACTTGGATATTAGTCCACGCGTGTTTCCTTACACCTGCCGCTATTCGCCTAGCAAGTAGGCACTTGGGTGTTAGACCACTGGTGTGGGTTGCATCCTGGGGGACAAAATTGAAGGCCCCAGTGGAAATAAGACAGTCCTCCATGACGCACTGACTTTCTCGAGTTATCCTGGGGTGGCTAACCATCCCTACCAGGTGTTATCCTGGGTGGCTAACCCTCCCTACCAGGTGTTATCCTGGGTGGCTAACCCTCCCTACCAGGTGTTATCCTGGGTGGCTAACCCTCCCTACCAGGGGTTATCCTGGGTGGCTAACCCTCCCTACCAGGTGTTATCCTGGGTGGCTAACCCTCCCTACCAGGGGTTATCCTGGGTGGCTAACCCTCCCTACCAGGTGTTATCCGGGGGGCAACCCCCTCCAGGTGTTATCCTGGGGGCTAACCCTCCCTACCAGGTTTTATCCTGGGTGGTAAACCCCCCCTACCAGGGTTACTGGGTGGCTAACCCTCCCACCCCGGTGTTATCCTGGGGGGGGGAACCCTCCCTACCAGGGTTATCCTGGGGGTAACCCCCTACCAGGTGTTTCCCGGGGGGCAACCCCCCTACCCGGTGTTTTCCTGGTGGCTAACCATCCTACCAGGTGTTTTCCGGTGGCAAAACCCCCCCTACCAGGGTGTTATCCTGGGTGGCTAACCCTCCCTACCCGGTGTATCCGGGGGGGCCCCCCCCTCCAGGGGTTTTTTCCTGGGTGGGTAACCCTCCCCCACCAGGTGTTATCCGGGTGGCAACCCTCCCTCCAGGTGTTTTCCTGGGTGGTAACCCTCCCTACCAGGGGTTATCCTGGGTGGCTAAAAAATTTCCTACCCTGGGTTATCTGGTGGCTAACCCCCCCCCCAGGTGTAATGGGGGGGGTAACCTCCCCACCAGGTGTTTTGGGGGCTAAAAACCCCCCCTACCCCGGTGTTATCCGGGTGGCACCCCCCCTACCGGGTTATCCCCGGGTGGCTAACCCTCCCTACCCTGTTTTCCCGGGGGGGCTAACCCCCCTACCAGGGGGTTTCCTGGGGGGTAACCTTTCCTCCCGGGGTTTTTCCGGGGGGCTCCCCCCCCTACCGGGGTTATCCCGGGTTTGGGTAAATTTCCACCCGGGGTTTTCCTGGGGGCTAACCCCCCTCCCGGGGTTACCGGGGGGGTAACCCTTTCCAACCCCGGGGTTTCCTGGGTGGCAACTTTTTGGGTTAAACAATCAAACAAATTTATTTTAAAACGTTTGGCTCAACAGAAATTTTAATCTCCAACCCAGGGTGAAAACATCGTCAGTGAACACCTCCAGTAAAACTCGCCTCGTGAACACCCTCTCGTAAACATCGCCTCAGTGAACCCCAAACCATAAAATCGCTCGGAACACTCCGTAAAAATCGCCCCGTGAACACCACTCAGTAAACATGCCTCGTAACCCATCTCCGTAACCCTGCTCGTGAACCCCATCTCAGTAAAAACGCCTCAGTGAAACCCTTCAGTAAACATCGCCTCAGTGAACACCATCCAGAAAACCCCATTGAAAACCCCCTTTTAGTAAAAAATCCCCTGGGGAACACCCTTCTCAGTAAAACATCGCCTTGAACACCATCTCAGAAACATCGCCTCAGTGAACAATTCATAAAATCCCCAGTAACACCATTCTCAGTAAACACGTCTCGTGAACACCATTCAGTAAACATCCCT